GGCAAACCACGTCATCCTTGGCGCGAAAATTGGCAAGCCGCCTTTTTATTTTCAAGATGTCGGAAAGGTTTGTGGACGTCGGTTCAGTTGACAATTTTATTGCAGAACAAGAAAACAAAGCCACATTACAAAAAACACAACGAGATGTAAAACTTTTGCAAACCTTTTTAGGAACCAGGAATGAACTTAGAAAAGTTGGAGAAATTCCAGCATTGGAACAAATACATCTGCGAGTTTATCATTTCGGTCAGAACCAAAGATGGGGAAGACTATGAGCCTTCTTCGCTCCGAAGTCTTCTGGCAAGTTTTGAACATCTAAAAAAGAACAGCTACTTTGCCAGTATCATGAATGACCTCGTATTTGAGAAAACAAGAAATGACCTCCTGTCCAAACAGAAAGAGTTAAAGAAGAAAGGAAACTGAGGAAACAGGCCAAACGCTTCGATAGCAGTGACAGTGGAGGACAGTGACGATGAGTAAAAACATTGCTATGATATGAATATGTTGTTATGTATCACTAGCTTTAAAATTTCCTCTTTTCCCTTTACTGAAATTTTGAAAAGAAAATATTGAAGTTTTTACGCTTTCGAGTGAATAAAACTCATTTCATTGCCTAGAAATTTTGAAAAGATGTCGAATTTTTAAAGAGCGTAGGACTGAAATAAAACTCATTTCATTGTCTTATCGCTGTTAATTGCCATTATTGTTTGAAAGAAATCTCAGTACTTATAAAATAAACAAATAACTTCATGGTTGGTTCGCTTGTACGATTTTTATTCACTTGTTGTGAATAAAAATCGTACGCACTCACCAACCATGAAGTAATCTCGATCTATTTGTGACACCTCTGACGCATTTGGAATCATTCGGTCGTTTGACTGCACCTGCTATAATTGTCGTAACCCGTTCATATTAATAGGATGTCTAGAATGCGTGCAATTAAATAGGGGTTTCCCGCTCCATTGACTTACCGACTGCAGAACATTTTAAGATTAACCACCCACAATGTGAGCACAGTTCATGACATGACATATTACTAAAGTGAATATAAATAAATGTATCCCGTTAAATTCTTAACTCAATTTTTTGAGGTACTGAATGAGTCAACGACTCAGATATTAACGTTCGTCTTACCCCTCTGCCGGAGTGTCAACGTCAGTTGCGCCAAAGTTTAAAGGGACAATAGAATTGTGTCTTTAAAGGTCAAACTCGTTAAGATAATTAATACGTTAAACATTATTTCCTCAACTGTGTCGCCTCCAATGATTGAACTCCGTATTCTTTATATCAAATCCTCGTACTAATATCCCAAACAAAGAGCCTTTTGCACGCGGTGTTATAAAGACGAAGTTGACAAACGAATTAGCAAAAGTGAGACGGCAAACAGAAGTTAAATCGTCTCGTTAATAAAATATATACTTCAGTAATCGCCGTCAAAAAAGACCGTGTCAGCAGATATCAATTGGCTAATGAGTTTGTTTGAAAAGACAAAAAAGATTAAGGATCATTAATATCCCTCTTTCGTCACAAAACAAATGAACAAACAAAATATTGCTTTTAACAGTCCTCTGCTGTTTCCGTAGGTATCCCTGAAAATAGCACCCAGTTCACGTAAGTAAAGATGTAAGCTTAAGCGGTAAGAAGACCCTTTGTAATATTGCTTTTCAGGTTATTCAACACCGAGAGACCTCGCCCTCCCCCTTAACAAGAGGAAGTCAGATAAAAAGGATATAAAAGGAAGAAAGTTGCTCAGATAACGTCACTGCGAGCAGCAAGCTCACTAGAAAAGATACCGAGGCCTCAAGTCAAAGGATTCTTAGACTGCAGTATCTTGGTTTCTCTACTAAAGCTTCGATAAGGTACTTATTCAGAAATTTTTGTCTTACATCATATCCATCATTGTTGGTAAATAAGTGGAACAACTTTTAGTTACATACTGCTCTTAAGCATAGTCCATGATCTAAGTCTAGACAATCGTTACTCTTTTTACGAAGGCATTGTGCAAATGTTTTATTCAATGAGTCAACGTTTACGAAGAAAGATTGTTGTACTCGATGTTGTTGTCCCTTTTCAAGAATACTTTAAGGTGTTTAGTTTCTTAAGTCAATGATGAAAGCTGAACTGAATTAGGATATTCTCTTCTTCGCTCGTACGAGTAGGTTGTCTGAAAAAAAAAGAATCTTTTTAAGCTTTGTTGGGTTTTATCTTGTATGGTTGTGTTCACGCCTTCAATTTACCCATGACCTCGGTTGTCTTCAAGCATTTAACAGATATTTTAAGTCTGTTTGCCCTCAACAAATCGTTGCTGAATAGTCTGAGAGTCAAACTAGCTTTCCAGTGGTCCTGCGATTCAGGGTCAGTTCACTATGACCAATTGAGCTAGATTTACTTTAAGTTTGGTCGCTGCGAGGTTAAATCCTTGTCCATGATTGTAACCAAATGGTTGATTCCTGCCACGTTGTTTGACCTGATAGGTTCTATTTAGATTATTAATTTCAGTGATCCAGATTATTTTATTCAGCGCATGCCGCTTAGTGCAAATAAGTTTAGCATTATTTTACAAGGCAATACTGATTCATCAAAATATCCATTTTCTTGTCTCAACAGTCGGAAAGGGAGAAGCAATTAAAGAGAAAATGAAAGCAACAAGGTATTATGCTATCGTTTTTACTTTCACCTAGGAAAACAGGGAAGAAATATAAGAAACTATAGTTAACTACTCAGGGGCCAACAGTCACTCTCTGCCTTCGAAAACCTAACATTTTTCTGTCACTTAATTTACAGGCGGTAAAGCCTGAGGCTCTGTACCACTTTTTCCTATTTTCAACATTTTGAAGTTGCCTGTGATCTTTTACTAAACAGAGACTCGGCATAAGTGGGCCAAATTCTATTTGACAAATAGAACCAATTTTAGACAAGTGCGATCAATTGTTAATAATGCGGACACATAGCTCGGTCCCTTCAGTTTCCTTATTACGTGAGTTTGACTTTTTATTCTAATTTATCAATTCACTACTTTCACATAGACCACAATGCACCTTGCTTACCCCCTAAAATTTTGCATAACTCTTGTTTCCAATTTCTCCTTGGGGTATAACAGTCGTCCCAAGGAAATCCAAGACAATGGTTATGCAAAATGTTGGCGATAAACAAGGTACATTATGGTCTATGTGAAAATGGTAAATTTCATTGCCCACCTAAATTGGTACATCAACAGTTCAGAGACCTTAACCTTAATTAACGTAATTTTGTTTTGTTATTGAAAACTGACACTTGAGAATGGAACTGAAAAAGATCAGTATTTTTGAAATTGCACCATTGACTGTCTACAAGTCTTTCTCCTGGAACCTTTTGCTGAGTTTATTCTTGACTGCTTTTACGTTACTTTATGACTCCCAGTCACAGTTACGTTTTTAATTATTGCCAAGGTGTAATCAGCATACCAAAGTTCATCTATTCACAAAGTTAAATTGCATTGGTGCGAGCTAATAGGCCCTTTGCAGTTAGTCATGGTACAAAACAGCCATGGGTACATGTACATCATGGGCCCTTTCCATTCAACCAAAACGTCCGGTTTGAATTTTTGGCAACTTCCAGTAGCGAATGGAACAGCATTTTCCAAAATTTCCAAACCAGACGAAAACCTCGCGAGGTATACCCAAATTTTCGAAAATGCCTTTTCCCGGAAGTTTCCTTTCCATTCAACTTTGCTCCCAGAATTTTCAGAATTTTCGGTTGAATGGTTCGCATTTCGGAAATCAACAGTTTCCAGAATTTCTGAAAACTTTTCCGGAAATTTCTGCACCATTGCCGCTGTTTCCAAATTTTCGAAAGTTTTGGTTGAATGGAAGGCGCCCCGGCCATGTAAAATGGTAACTTGCTTTGTTTGTCTCACCCCAGTGCGTCCCTTGCTCTCCAGCATGGCTGTTTTGTACCACGTGAATGACTATCCGTGAAGGGTTATTCAGAGCCATCCAAACCAGGTGTTTTGAAAAAATGAAGTGGCTTTAATACAAACTCGGAATTTAAACTTGTAAAAAGTGAGCGTTTTTACCCTGAAAGCTAAAAGCTTCAAGTAAAATAATGTGGTAGTCCTGATCCATCAGACAAACTAGAATCCGTAAAAATGCTAAAAACCATATCTAAGTACAACAAAACCCGGCGACTAAGAAACTGGTTGTTAAGAACCTGTTAGGCTAAAATTTGCCAATTGGGCCCTCTCTATACAAGGACCTGTTTAGCCTAAAATGTGAAACAGGTTCTTATTTTCTAAAGTCTATGAAAAAAATTCTGTACACGTGGGCAAATAATAAGAGTGTAAGTCGACATTAAGGATCCTCTTTGGACACATTAGTGCCTTATTCGCGGCTCCAACAGCAATTGTAATTGTATACAGGTTTTCCCCGAGGAATGAACTGAATACTACTACAATATATTTTTCTTCAGAAAATAAGAACCTATTTAAGAACTTAAATAGCCTAAATTTGGACTAATTACCATTTACGTAAGAACCTGTTTAGGCTAACTTGGCAGAATGCAGGTGCTCTGCGGGATTAAGGTATCTTAGGTTAATTTTAGATTTCCGGTCTCTTTGTTTCCATTTCAGCATTCTCCTATGCATTGCTGTTATTGTTGGCACTTACGAAGTACGCCAAGCATCGTCCTCTGATGCAGCTGCCAGACTGGTTTTAAAGTTACTGAAGAATAGAGCAAACTGCGAAACACCCCTTAAAACGGCTTTGGCATGCCTACACCGCAAGTATCGCACATTTGACGGCACATGCAACAATCTGTGCAACATAACTCTGGGATCCGCGGAACAACCTCTTGAGCGTTTACTGCCACCCGACTATGAAGGACCTGCCGGTAGTCAAGCACCACGAAGTTTGGGAGTTGATTTTAAGCCACTTACAAATCCAAGAAAAGTTAGCTTTGAAGCTTTGGAGAACAATGATACTGCGAATATCAATGGCACTATTGTGGATTTTACCCACCTGACAATGACCTGGGGACAATTCCTAGATCACGACGTCACCTTAACAGAGCTGCCTGAAGACTTGGATTGTGGGATAAACAATGCACCATGCCAACCCATTCCTGGATGTGTTAACATAAAAATCCCGAATGGTTTAGAACTGTTATTTAACGAATCTGTACAATGCATTCCTCTTCCCAGGTCTGTGAGAAACCCAGCTGGTGACCAGGTTAGCGGAGTATTTAACTTTTTCATAAATGTCCAGTGATACACACAGTAGCATCTATTTGATATGGTTTCCCACAGGCAGCCCAAGCTCAGTATGAGAGTTAAATCATTAATACGTTTGGTATCCTATTGCGTAATCTTCAAAACGGCCGTGAACTTAAAGTGCTTTAATGGAAATTAAGTAAGAGATTCAAGAAGATCAATACTCGCTGGGATTTCCAACAAAAAATGCCTAACTTGAATAAGCTAGTTACTGTTTGCTTCCTGTGTGATTTTTTTTCCCGATCTGATGCGATTTTAGGAGCGATGGAAGAAATAAAAAATTGCTAAATTCGCATCAGCACACATGAAGCATGTTAACTCTCATACTGAGTTTGGGCTGTCTGTGGATTTCCCAGAGTGGGAAAGTTTTCCAGACGCGAGAACCCTTAAGAATAGAACACAAACTAGGTTTTGAGTGAGAGTAGGACCAAACGTTTTGAGTAAAAGTTATGCATAAGCGAAACAGGCCAGACTAGGCTGCCGTTTCCGGGAACATCTTCGAGATGTTGAAAGAGACGTATCGAAACCAGTTGCTCCCACTTTAATCTTGCAAATAAGGCCACGTGGTAATCATCTGCACTATCACATGGCACTAACAAAAGACTCCGGGTTTGAATGACACTCAGAGTCTATGGAAAAGCATTATTTACTCGTTGGCATACACTATCATCATTCGATGCAAATTTTTCTTCCTTTTCATTGGCCTAGAACCCACCACGTGACCTGCGAGTAACTGCCAACAAATAATGGTCTTCTCATGCGAAATGTCGTCCAACTGTGTTTGGCTGCAAAACATCTTCTGCTTATGTGTAAATGAAACCACGCTTTTCTCCTCCTTGCAATCGCTCTTCCGTTAAAAAGGCAGATTGCTTACAGTCCATGAGTTTATTTATATTTATTAATATGTTCAGTATTCAACCACGTCTAATAATTGTTAATTTTATTTTTCATTTGAAATAAATATTGTCTCTTATACCAATAACGTCTTTATTATTTCAGATAAATATTATTACCGCTTATGTTGACGGGTCACAAGTGTACGGATCAAGCGATGAATTAGCTAAACAGCTTCGAAGTCCCAAAGGCCATGGACTTCTAGATACGGTGCCACTGAGAAACATTGGAGGCCTACCAAGACTTCCTGATGCTAATGAAGAAGCCTTCTGTAGATCTCCCAATCCAGAAGAAAAACCTTGCTTTATTGCTGGCGATGCTCGAGTCAATGAAAATCAAGGTAGAAAAGACGTTATCTTTTTAAAAATCTTTCAAATCACCAATCAAAATTCAAGTCAAAAGAAAACAGATTCATATTATTTAAGATTGTATTATTCAGTGAAAGTGCCGCCCAAGACACATAATTCGTTTTGTATGTTTTGACATCTTTCTATTCATTTGATTGCAGGAATGTTATTAGAGGCGGTACATTCAAACGTAAAAAAAACTAATTTGACAAGTCTAATTACCTTATTGACATATTTGTTAGAGGATAATTGCAAGTGGATGCGCTACGTAGATAGATGATAGATAGATGCAAACTGGTAAAAAACTGGTATTATAGTAATTAACTAACAAATTCTAAATTTTCATTCAAAACTCGTCTCTTAATCAGCATAAAGGAATAACCGTGGAGCAATTTTATTGCAGCTCTTATGGCGATGCACACTTTGTGGGTTCGCGAGCACAACCGTATTGCAACAAACCTTAAATTGCTCCGTCCCTACGCGGATGACGAGACACTGTTTCAAGAGGCGCGTAAGATTGTAATAGCAGAGCTTCAACATATCACCTATAACGAGTGGCTTCCAGTATTATTCCCCAGTAAAGAATTGGTAAGAACTTTATCAAAGTATGTTATATCCGCACCTATGATGAGTCCTCTTACGGCCTCTTGAACTTACTTGTTCCCCTGTTGATAATCATTTCACTAATATTCTTAGGCATTTAATTAAGTTAACTGATAGAACGTACGGTGGTATAAAATTTGACTTCCCTAAAAGCATACGTGATGGATAATGCGCAATTAATTTCCTGGGAGACCCACAGTTTGATGAGGCTAAAGAAACGGTGAACAAATTTCAAATTTTGAAGTTTTGAAGTTTAATTTTTTATTTTCCTTAATTCAGTCTATATGTTGTTTAAAATAACGTTTTGGCTATGAATGTCAGCCTTAGTCATATTCTTGAGATGTTTTTAAGTTTAATTTTACTGAAAAAGAGACATTGTGTGACTGTCAGTTCAATGCCAAGAAAAAGAAATGTTGACCAGTGCAGACAATAAGTTTTTTGTTACAATAACAAAAACAGTAAATTTTAAAATCATTTTAAAAAAAATTAAATAGTTTAACTCTCACGGAGGAATTCGTTCCTAAATTTTAACTTCGCTTTAAAATGAAATACATTTGCACTTTGTCTAGTATTTTACTGATTCGCTAAAAATGCTCTAACTTAGGAACTGATAAATGCGTCATGTTGTCAAAGTGACAATTTTGCATGATTCTTACCTTTGCAATCATTTATTCTTTTATTTCTTTCTTTCTGTTCTAACGCTTGGCCCAGCGTGCACGTATGTTGAGTTCTAACTCATTTTAAGCTAAGTCTAAACTAAGGGGGCCTTCATACTTGGAAAAAAAAACGGCCACTTAACTGATAACTGATCGGCGAAAGCACACACATTATTTGCGTCATCCTTGCCCCGGCATTTAATACAAGAGAGCGCATTTTCAAAATGTTTTTATATTTCTTTTTCAGAGAAAACAATTTGGTGTTCTTTTAAAACCTAAAGGAAAATTCTTCACTGGATATGACCCCGAAGTGAATGTGCAATGCACCAACGTTTTCTCTACATCCGCTCTGAGAATGGGTCACAGTTTAATTCGCGCCGTTTTTGATTTGAGATCAGCCGACGGCACCTTTAGTCGATTTAGAGGATCTGATCGGTCCCTGCCTAGAGACATTCGTTTTGCTGAGCCAGTTGACTTCTTCATCCCAACAAGGTTTTTTAATAAAAATGAACAAAGCGTCTTTACAAGAATTTTGTTCGGGCTGATATTTTTCGTGGCTCAGACTCCTGATCGGTAAGTATAGCGCTCTTTAACCCTTAATGATATTTAGACTGGGCCTGATTTAGGTCCCTAGGACTCTAACTCCAGCAGTGTAGTATTTTTAATGACGCAGCACGCTAGCAACACACCAGCACTGCCCTGTCCATTTCCTGACCCAAGCATATCGGATCCATGTAACCAAGACTGCAGTTATAGCTTCCTTTCTCGCCAAAGGTCTTCACAGTCAGCCCGCATGAAGTTCAAACCCCCATACGTTGTGTTCTTTTATGCTCCATCATACCCTTTTGTGTCGTACAATCTTAATAGCCTCATATGGTTACATTTTCATGACAACGCTACATGACTCCCTCATGGTGTGAACATAGCCTATCGCTATGTTCACACTATATCTATAAATAGTTCTTGCGTCGGCACCAAAACCATACCGGATAGGGCTTCTGTTCACACATACATTATTCTAAGGTGGTCTATCATGTGACATGGATTATGTCGGTTTCACTAATCGACACCTACATCCACGCATCAGCGAACACACAAGCTCAGCTCGTTGATCGGAAGGCACATCATGCGTGAAAGGACATGGGGCCGAGAAGCCAACCCTCACGGACAATTTTTCGGTCCTCAAAAAATGCAGAAATGAATTCAAAAGCCTTGTCTACGAGATACTAATTATACAAAAACTCAAACTATCACTGAACATTGAATCGGATTCGATTCGCGCTAAGCTTTTCTATTAAATACATTTACATAGGGTGGATTATTTGCAGCATACAACGGTATACCCGTCGCATTTGCCCAATGGAATTTTTTTTTTAAAACTCAAAAACAATAAAAAATTCAAACGGGCAAATGCGATGTATATACTCGTATGCTGCAAATGAATCCACCCATAATAATGAAGCACGCGCGAATGCAATCTTATTTATTCAAACTACACCTCTTTTAACAACTTTGAAACTTTACACTCTTGATAATGATATTCGAAGCATCGAAAATTCGAGTAACGCGTTCTTAAGTTCAAATTTTCTTGTTAAATCAGCTGCAACAAGCTCTGAACTGACTATTGGACTTAAGTGCAAGATTATTTTTAGTTCCCAGATGGCCTTGTAACTTTTTTGATAGAGTCATTGTTTGTGAACAACTGCTCCTTCCTTAATGTAGACGCTTAGTATTAGAAATATGATTTCTCTAATAGAATCTCATTCCTTTTATAGTATCTTTGTGAACGCTGTACGCGAGCGACTCGTCATTGAAGGCAATATCTTTGGCGATCTCATGGCCATCAACATTCAGCGTGCTCGGGACCATGGCCTGCCAGGTTACGCCCATTATCGAGAAGTGCTTGGATTGGGAGCTGTGAATTCTTTTGATGACCTTTCGGGTACTTTCTCTTCAGAGCAGATTGCAAGATTTAAGGTTGTATACAAAAATGTCAAAGATGTTGATGTTTTTCCCGGCAGCATAGCAGAGGGTCCCCTTCCAGGAAGCGTGCTTGGAAGCGTAAATACCCATATTATACTAAAGCAGATGGGAAAGTTTCGCTCTGGTGATCGCTTTTGGTACGAGAGAGATGACCACTTGACCGCCTTTACGCTCAAACAGCTGGATGAAATAAGAAAAGTTACTATGGCAAGAGTCATGTGCGACAACCTTGACGGTGCCACCCGCATTCAGCGTTGGGTATTCAAAACAATAAAATCCCGCCGAAGTGTGGTTGACTGTGCAGACCTAGATTACGTTGACCTGAAAGAATTCAGTCAAGGTGACTTTTATCTATTTCAAATATTTCTAATATATTCGATTTATTTTCATCTTCCATCTGTTGACTAATATTATTACACTTGACGAGTTTTCTCTCGTGTTTGACAAACAGGAGACGCGGCATTACGAGTATGAGTTAGGCAGTTAACGCAACGAGAGGGCTTACTCACAGTCGCTCACAGGGTACAGAAAGCAACACAAACTAGACGCCTGGAGGCGTTCAGTGTTCTGTCAAAAACTTCAGGATTTCTAGACATATATATGATATTTTATGACAACGAGAAGCTTGACAGAACAAACTACAGCTCATAGAAGTTGATTGCATTTTGATGTGCAGGGGTTGCACATCAGTTTTGATTTAAAATGTCTATGGCTGGTGTCAACTGCTTTTGACCAAGGATGGAAATGTGGCATTGAAAATAAACCATTTTACACTTGTGGGCTTGGTGTCCTAGCCTTTGAGTGAACGTGAGGCTGGGGTTGACCTTGTTTTAACGCAAACCTCTTTCCTTTTCTCATGGAAACTGTGCTAAAAAAAAAGTCCTAGTTATCATAAAAACATCAGGATTTACATAGTAAACCAGGAAGGGTTATATTGGTCAACTCCAGCCTCGTTTTCGCCGTTAACTGTAAAATGGTCTATGATATGTTCAAATAATCAACCTCGGTTAAAATAACGTATTGCTCAATTAAGTTACACCGTGAGTAACTACTATTTTTTTCCTTTTCTTTAATTTTGATAGGAGCTGGAGTGGAACCGATGGAAGAAACTGGTGGTGAAGAAAGTGCCGCTGCCTGAATCCTTCATCACGTGTGAAACCCTTACTTTTCTTATTCGTAATTTCACTTTATTCTAACTAAAGATAAGATGATCATGCAAACCTTTGAGAGAGACGGCACCAGGCAAGAAACCTAGCATTTCTTCTATTCAAAACCTGGAGTTTAATCTCCTGCTTTATCAATAAAGTATTTGAATGAAATGCTACGAAGTCTGATGTAGTTAATAGCGGCGAATTTAAGGAAACGGATCTGTTTACCCTGACGTCGCCCTTTACTAAATACACCCTTTGACATGAGCCAGCTTGGGAAAATCCTTCGTCACACCACTGAAAAGGGTGCCTTGAAATTAGTAAAACTGTCAAATTGGAAAGCGATACGTCTTAAGTGAGCAAAGATATAGCCAGTAACCAAAGTTGTATGGTCAGGGGCAAGTTTGTACCCTCCACCATACAAACGTCCGCAAAATTTCGCCACTTTGAGGAGCTATAATTATTTTCGTTTTTTTTTTTTTTTTCTAACAAATCACTCTCAAACTTGGAAATTTTACTAATTTTGAGGCGCTTTTTCCAGTGGTGTCGACGGATTTTCCCTAACTTGTCCATGTCAAAAGTTGAAAAAACCCGTGGAAGGGTCTATTTCGTTTATCCTAACCCATCACTTCAAGTGGAAGAAAAGACTATCAACCTGTCCTCGCCAACAAACTCTAAAGTTGGGCAGTCAGACTTCTGAGACTTCCCCGGATCTGTCCACATCTTCCCCACGCTCCCTGGATTTAACAGTCCATTTGTAGAAGGCCTAAATGTAATAAACGGCCCTAAATGTAATAAAGTCCTAAATGTAATAACATTTTGTCCTAAGTGTAAAAAAAAGTCCTAAATGTAATAACAATTTGCCCTAAATGTAATAAACTCTTAAGTTGCCAATTACAGTAATTACTTGAATAAGCGCCGCCTCAAATAAGCGCCACTTTTGGGGGGGGGTTGAAGGTAGTTAGCGCCGCGGTGCTTATTCATGTAAATACGGTACTAGGCGGTATTACTATAGTATTAAGCTCCGCTCTCATAATTCGCGTAAATTCGGTACATTTCCTTGTGCACTGTGAAACTTAACGTTTACAAATAAATTGCTTGTAAACGGCAAAGTAACAGTATTTTTCTAAAAAAGCAATATTTAAGCAATAGAAAGCTTTTTTCCTGTGTTTGCATAGCCTGATATAAACACTCAAGGGGTTGGGAGAATTCGAGACAGTTATGCAAACCCTCGACGTCGTCTCGGGTTTGCATAACTGTCAAGAATTCTCTCAAACCCTCGAGTGTTTATATCAGGCTATGCAAACACAGGAAAAAAGTTTTCTATTGCTTTTATAATATAACTTTCCCCACAAAAAGAAAAACTCTTTGTTTAGGTTACTGATTAAAAGAGAAATTCTTACCAGTCGCAAAGTCTTGTACACGAAGCTTAATGTACGTGTAATCAGTTCTCAGGTTTTGCAATAAAGATGCTTTCCAAAAAAGAGTTTTTCTCGCTTAAAATGTCAGCTTAAGCGAAAAAAAATTGGCACAGCATATTTGTGAAGGTTTTTTCAAGGCTCATCCGACGAGGGAATGGGTAAATAAAGTAACTTTGTCGAGCTTTCAACTCAAAAACTTTTTAAAATTCGTGCTTGTGTGATTAGCCCGCGAAGAGCAAAACATCTTGACTCCACACATGTTTAGATAATCTCATGTTTAGATAATCTCATGGAAACACATCTCTCGGCCAATCAGAGCGCGAGCGTACTATCTTAGTTATTTATAAACGTTGTTATCAGCTGTGCAGTAGTCTCAATGGCCTGTTTACATGGAGGAGGGGGACCCCAGAAAGGTGAGGTAACAGGCGGCGGGTTACCCCACCTATCAAGTAAACGGGATCAAATTAAAATGAGAGATTATGTGTACAGAGATTATGTGATTAGATCTCTTTTCTAGAGATCTAACGTTGACAAGCAACAGGATCTTCGTCCACGGTTTTTGCAGTAAATTTCTTTAACGAAAAATGAAGTATGAAAAACTTTTTAAGGCTTACAAGTCTTTTTTTTTTATTTTGTCCCTTTACAAGCAATTTATTTGTAAACGTCCAGTTACACAGTGCATATTAAGGAAATGTACCGAAGCTTACTAAATTTTTTCTCCAAAAATGCGGCGCTTATTTGAGGGCGGCGCTTAAAACCATAGTAATGCCTCTTAGTACCATATTTACCCGAATAAGCGCCGCAGCGCTTATTAACTTTCCTCAGATGCGGTGCCAGGAGCCCATAACCCGGAGCGTTCAACTACCATAAATTCGTGCAACGGCGTTTTTACAAGTGAGTTTATTTTTAGATAAGCTTTTCCCGCGAAAAATAACTGTTCCACGAGGTCATTTCCTCCATTTGATCGTCGTTTAGACTGTTAGTAGCTCGCTTGGACCTTTTCACAGTCGGCTATTTCGAAGATGATTTCGATTTTTTTCCCTTTGCGTGAATTATGCGTTGTCGCAGATGAAGTAGACGTCCTGGCTAGGTTTTGCAAATCTTGCTCTGAACTGCTAGTTTCCGTGTAAATACTGAAATTGTCGCTTGAAGTACTGTCAGAAGACTCCTCTGGAGATTCCTCACGTGTGTCCGCCATGTCTTTTTCAGTGTGAAGGAGTTGTCCTAGTTACGTTTTAAAAGTTTATCATTGATGACGCAATTGCTAGTGATTGGCTTTTCGAAAGCAGTTCGCGGGAAAGGCTTATCGAAAAATAGACCTACTTGTGAAAACGCCGTTGCATAGGCGCAGTATGGAAGTTAGACGCTCCGGGTTATGTGCTCCTGTATATACCTAATTGACTCCTGAAGCCAGTGAAAAAGGTACTCCTCTCGGGCAAGACAGTCAGCCTCCCTGTAGAGGAACGTATTCTCGGGAGTAAACCATCGCCAACCCCCCCCACCATCCCTTCCCCCCGACCTGATTAGACGGACATTTCAATAGATAAGCCAAACATAAAAGAGCCAAGGAAATTCTCTCAGAGGTATTTATTGTACCTGCATGTTCACGTGTACAAAAGGTGGTTTTACAGCTGTTTCGGATAACGCGACCTACTATGTCAAAAACGTCTTAGGATTTTGGGTCTTGCTGCGACGTCGCTCAAACTCTGAAGGCTGGGCGCTTTCTAGCGGACCTCTCAGGGAACAGAAGTTTACTTCAACGGGTTCAAAAGGTCATGGTTTGTGATTTGTGATTGATGGATTTCGATCCGTTTTATGTGCGATACGATTGCATTCTCGGGTTTTGATGTTTAACTTAAGTTTACAAAGTTACTACGAGTATAGAGTAAGATTAGAAAGAGGTTGTAATTCTCAACTGTATACTATCTATTTTTCACCCAAGTACCACTTTTTAGCGACACTACTTAAACTAACTTATGCTTTGTCGCATTCTAGGTACAAGGCTGGTTAAACAGCTAATGTAACCTTAAACCGCTAAGAGTAAATCATTTCCCAATCTACCTTTTTCAAGTTTACAGTCTTGTGCCGAAAACAATTTTACTAAAACCCTGAGAATCAAAGAATCAAAATAGTCTTACAATCCCATTAAAGACACAAGCCAGCCCTAGGCGACAATAATTGCTCCACTCTCATCCCGGAAAAACTATCCAACTATAACAGCTTTATTTAAACCACAAAAATTAATAAGGAAAATAAGCAACCTCAAAAGATTCCGAACAAAAAACAAGAGTCACAATGGTTTCAATAGAATGACACTCTCCTTCCAACAGGACATTTGAAAAGGAAAGAAACATCAAGGAAATCAGTATTATGTTCGAATATTTGAACTACTTTTCCCGGTTAAGGAAACATGCTCAGCACAAAATGTTTAACGCTTTGTAATATTCTAGCAATTTCTGACAATGAGCCACGAGCCGACCTTGTCAGACCTTGTACGACAACACAGCACTCGCATCAAGGAAAAACTGCCCGACTGGAACAGCCTTATTTAAAAACAACAAAATCATAACAACCTCTTAGTCTTCCAAGCCAATAGCTATAACAAATATTTCCAGTAGAATATAATCCTTCCAATTGCAAGAAGACAGTGGTTATATCGAAAATAAACTAGTGGAAGTGTAATTGTTGAGATCGGTTATTTGAGCCACTTTTCTAATAAGGGACAAAAGACATAAAGCTGCCTGTTGTATAAATAGATAGACGGTCGTATTCTTTTAGCAGTTGTTCTTTGTTCTTCCCACACACTTTATTGTCTCATTTAGTTTCGTTTTATTATAAAAGAACAAAAGCCTAACGGCAAAATACAATGTGACGATAAATTTAGATCATACAAATTTTCCGGGTTGCGGGTATAAATTTGTTAACTTTAGTCTTACTAGTTGGGCTCAGTAAATTCATCTACGCCAAATCCACGGAGACGAGTGAACGATTGTACCGTAGTCTTTTCAGAGGGAGTTTACCGGTAAGACTTAATCAGGTGAGTAATATTTTTTTCTTTTATCTTCCAAAACTGGAACCATAAAAATTTGCAAAGTTTGACATGCGTTCCTTTTAAAGGGGCAACTGTTCATCCGCTACATGCACAAATAGTGAGTGGAAAGAATTCAGAATCTGAGAATGTCTTATTTGCCGTACTTTATCCAAGCGTCATCCTGAACAATAAAAATTGAACAGTTATTGAAATAAAACAATACAAAAAACTAACCGCATAGTCAGCTCAAAAATAACATAAACTGAGATAGCCTGATCTCGCTGTGAACAGCACGTCGAGTGTTGGTCTCCAAACAGAGGGCATACGAAGGGCATACGAAGTCGCAGGAGGTTTATAAATGTTGCCTTTAACCAATTACGGGACTGACGAAGCCAAGAGAACGTAATTTATTAATAGCCAAGGCAAAACTGTGTCGTTGTCAGGCCTTCTGTGTTTCACAGTATCTTGCAAAGTCCACTCAAACTGAATTGAACAAGAAATAATTTCCTTTTTAATTGGCGTTGACATTTTTATGCCGATATAGAACTTCTGTTACCAGCCGTTTCGCTGTGCTTCTACGCAGTTGCTTGGAATTTTACTTAGTTCACTCGAAAACTAAGAAGAGAAAAAACCTGTAAGTAAAAACCTATTTTTTAAGAACCTGTTAGGCTAAAATTTGTTAGTTAGGATCGCTCTATACAAGGAACCCCTTAGCCTAAATGATCCATTTCTAAAATCCACAAAAATTCTGCAAACTTGGGCCAGTAAGATAAGATAAGATAAGTCCAGGACCTCTTTGGAGACGTATAGCTTCCTTATCACTCCATCTGCAAAGTG